ATACCACAACTGCTAATTCAAGATCATGAGTCGGGTGATTCTTCTCGTGAGCCTTAAGTTGTCGATCCGTAGGCTATGACTTTACCGTGCTGCATTAATACACACCAAGACCAACCCCTGAAGCATCACAATAAACAACGAACCCTTTGGTTCCTTCCGATAGTGTCAAGACCGGAGATGAAGTCAACCTCTTCTTTAACACCTCAAAACTTTTCTCGCAAGCATCCGACCATTGAAACTTGACTTTCTTCTGAGTTAATCTAGTCAAAGGGGACGAGATAGAAGAAAATCCCTCTACGAAACGCCTATAATAGCCTGCTAGACCCAAGAAACTTCTTATATCGGATGCTGAGGCGGGTCTAGGCCAATTCTTCACTGCCTCTATTTTCTTAGAGTCCACCTTCACGCCCTCCTCTGAGATGACATGGCCCAAAAACGCTACTGATTTCAACCAGAATTCAAACTTAGAAAATTTTGCATATAGCTTGTGATCCTGCAGTGTCTGCAACACAATTATGAGATGTTCTGCATGGTCAGTCTCGCTACGGGAATAAATCAAGATGTCTTCAATAAACACCATAACAAACAAATCAAGAAAAGGCTTGAAGACCCTATTCATAAGTTCCATGAAAGCTGCTGGTGCATTTGTTAAACCAAATGACATTACCAAAAATTTGAAATGCCCATATCGAGTTCTGAAAGCTGTTTTTGGAATATCAACTTCCTTAACCTTCAACTGATGACATCCCGATCTGAGGTCAACCTTGGAATAACACTGGGCACCCTGAAGTTGATCAAATAAATCATCTATTTTGGGAAGATGGTACTTGTTCTTGATGGTGACTTGATTCAACTGACGATAGTCAATGCACATGCACAAAGACCCATCCTTCTTTCGGACAAACAAGACCGGTGCACCCCAATGTGAGATACTTGGCCTAATAAATCCCTTATCTAGAAGATCTTTCAATTGGACTTTTAGCTCTTTCAACTCTGCTGGAGCCATTCTATAAGGCAGGATAGATATCGGCTTAGTGCCTAGAAGTAGATCAATTCAAAAGTCAATCTCTCTTTCGGGAGGGATTCCAAGAAGATCTTCGGGAAACACTTCTAGGAATTCATTTACAATTGGTACCGACTGGAGAGCGGGAATCTGAGCATCTGCATCCTTAACTCGAACCAGGTAATAGATATACCCTTTGGAGATCATCTTTCTGGATTTAAGATAGGAAATAAACCTACCCCTAGGTGTTACTGCATCACCCTTCGATTCTAAGACTGGTTCACCGGGAAATTCTAAACTTACTATTTTGGTTCTACAACCCACTGTGGCATAACAAGACTCTAACCAATCCATGCCCATGATTACATCGAAGTCTACCATCTCCAATTCTACTAAGTCTGCCACAGTAAGACGATGATACACTTTGACTGGACATCCCCTATAGATACAACTTGCTATAACTGATTCTATAACTGGAGTGGACACTTCAAAGGGTTCACACAACTTTTCTGGTTCTATCCCAAATTTCTTAGCAATATATGGGGTTACATAAGATAGGGTGGATCCCGGATCTATTAGAGCGTAGACATCAAAAGTGAATATTTTTAGCATACCTGTGACAACATCTCCACGAGCCTCTGTATCCTGACGGCCTGCCAGTGCATACAAGCGGTTTCGACCACCGCCTACATTACTAGACTTTGCCGCACCACGCCCTTGTTGGTCCTGAGAGTTATGAGGGGCTGCCGAATTAGTGGACTGAGCTACATTGCCTCCATTGTTATGCTTTGCTAATGGACAATCCCTAAAGAAGTGGCCCTGCTGACCGCACCCAAAGCAACTATTTGTGCCCGAACGACACAACCCTGGGTGCCTCTTACCACACGTGTTGCAAATAGGGTAACCAGGGACTCTGTAGCCCATACTAGCCTGTGACTGTCAGTCTGCTGCTCTGAAGTTCTGGTTTTTCTTGTTAAACTTTGACCTATGAACTGGTGCACTAGCTGGAGATAGAGCAGGTGCTGATTTTGATTTCTTGAAGAACTGGCGATTGCCTCCTACTTGAGATCCCCCATGGCTAAAATTTCCTGCAGACTTAGCTCTCTTACTGAATTCCCTCTCCTTCTCTCTCTGTAGCCGCTCTTCTTCCTTCAACCTGTCTTCGTTCCCTTGAACAAAGGCAACCATCTTAGTGATGGTCATGTCATTATTCTGAGCAGCTATACTAGCATCAACAAACAAATCATCTGAAAGCCCTAACACAAACTGTCTAACTCTGGCCCTCATATCACGTACCATTTCGGGAGCATACTTGGCCAGAGAGACGAACTTGAGGTAGTACTCATTCACACTCATATCATTCTGTCTGAGTCACTCAAACTTCAAAGCCTTAGCTTCCAAGACCTCAATGGGTAGAAATTGCTCAGGGAATGCACCTGCAAACTCCTTCCAAGTCGTAGGAGCCGCATCCTTCCCATGTTTCATACCAAGTGTTAGCAACATCTTTCAGCTGGTACGCAGCAAGCTCTACTGCCTTAGTGTTTGTAGCATGCATCACTCGAAATATCTTCTAAACCTCATCAATGAAGTTTTGCGGATCCTCATCCTTTATGGACCCTGTGAAAATCGGAGGTTTCATGTTGAGGAATTCCCTGGACCTGGAACTAGCTGTCTTATGAACAACACTTGTTACCTGCCTTTGAGCCTGAGTAGCAACAATCTGGGTGAGCAACCAGATAGCTCCCCTGACATCCAAGTCTGAAGCACTGGGCACGGAGCCCAATGCAACCCCCTGGGTTGGAGTGTCCTCCTCCTGAGCAGCATTAGTCGTAGCCCCCTGGCTAGTAGCTGAGGCCCTCCTGGTGTACTTTCTTTTTGCAGGAATTTTTTTGAAATACGTAATTCGTATGAGTTAGAAGGATTCCTGAAATCATAGCTCTAACTGCATGATCTAGAGTATGAAAGAAATGCAACAATCCTAAATGTCTTGGTGGTCAACTGTTTACATATGTGGCGTGCACACACACATAAAAATGACCCCACTAGACACGGCTTCATAGACTCCCTAGGACTCATGAACCTAGAGCTCTGATACCAAGCTTTGTCACGCCCCGAACCATGGCCTGGGCGTGACACGGCACTCGGTGCCTAACTACATGTGACCGAGTGAACCAACTGGGTGGCTGGATCAACATGTGGTATAACTGTAAGTTGAATAGAAACATTCAACATGTTGATCTACTAACGAGTCTAAGTGAAATATCATAAATGCGGAAAGTACTGAAAAGTCTGCAAATATAAACGAGTAGCCGACAAGGCTAACACATAAAAGTCTGCTAATAGCTGACTGACTGGCCATAGTCTACGAAGCCTCTAAAGAATACTGAATTGCTAACTGATTACCGAGACAAGGTCCCCGGTATACCTTACTAACTGAAATACTATAATGACTGAAAAAGGGAGGGATAATGCCCTGAAAGACTGGGGCTCACCAATAGCTGATACGAGATGTCCTAGAAAACTGAACAAAACATAGGAAGTACATTTGAATTGCACTGGTATGTAAAACAACTGAAGGAAAGAACTGTAAATACTGAAACCGAACTGATAACTGAACAAAACATAGGAAGTAAGGTTGTGAATACTCTCTCTTCTGAATGATGAACCAACTGTTTATCTGAATAAATAGACTGCAGCCGCAGGCCCTATATATATATATATATATATATATATATATATATATATATATATATATATATATATATATATATATATATATATATATCTGTGTGTGTGTGTGTGTGCGCACAAACTGCGACCTCGGGCCCAAGTATACGTATACATAACTGCAGTCTCAGGCCCAAAAATGCATAAAGCATAAACTGCGGCCCCGGGCCCAAATACAAGTGTTCAACATTCAGGAACTTAGAATCAGGAACTGAGAATCATACTGCAATACATCATACTGAAATACTGAGTTACATGATACCGGAATAATGAATAGGGCTAGACTGAGATGTGTATTCATAATAAGTTAATTTGTCATAACTGAAACTCATAGAATATTGAATGACTATGAAACTATGTCATCTAGAGAATAGAAGTTCTACGACTATTCTTGGAACTAAGGCATAATCTTTTTGAGGAAACTAGTAATAGTCATAAGTAATGGGACGTAGGGAGAATCATAGACATTCCCAAATGTAAAGAGTTAGCCTCACATACCTTAACTTCCTGCTCTTGAGCGTAATACAATATTTTTCAACCCTTTCAACTTTAATCTATAGCAATACAAGTCAAACGGATACAATATATGCTATGATACTCATGTTTTGGTTACTTAAGCATTTTATCAAACGTACAATCAACATCATTCTTTATCACCCATATGGTAAACAACACCCTTAACCAATAATCAACAATCAACACCCCAAAACTATAATCGTTCATGCTTTTCTATCAAACCCATCAACTCATCTCATGAACTAGAGTCTATAATCTTAATCCAATGCTAGAATCAATTAGAGGGTGAAGACATTACCTTTTTAAAGTTCAATCCCCTTGAATTCGAGTTCTAGGGTTCCTTCTCCCAACAATGATGTCCCAATAGAATATCTAATGATATGGAGGGTTTACCCATGTTAATAAGATGTTGGGAAACTGAAATTAACTTAGAATCACCATTAGAACTTACCTTGGATGGTGGAGGGACCCTTAAGGAGTTAGGTTTTTGAGAGCTCCCCTTTCTGGAGCAAGTTTTTGTGTTTTGGGGGTGTGGGGGACGAAGTAGGGCTTTAAAATGAGCCCCACCCCAAGTAATTCCTGAAGACACCATTGCTTGGAAAATGTTCTTTGATGGAGCTGTAAAAGCAAAAGGTGTCGGAATTGGGGAAATTTTGATTTCGCCCACCGGTCAGCACTATCCGACCACAGCCCAGCTTCGGTTCTTCTGTACAATCAACACTGCCAAGTATGAAGCTTGCATTTGGGCAAGAATATGGCAGTTGATCTGGATGTTGGGGAGTTGTTAATCATGGGAGATTCTGACTTGATTATCCGGCAAGCTCAGGGCGAGTGGGAAACTCGAGATATCAAACTCATCCCGTACAGACAACATGTGAAAGATCTCAGCAAACGGTTCAAGTCCGTCGAATTCAGGTATATTCCTCGATTCCACAATGAGTTAGCTGATGCACTAGCTACCTTGGCTTCAATGCTGCCGTATCCAGGTAATGTCCATATTGACCTGTCGGAGATCCAAATTCGAGAAAGACATGGATATTGCAATGCAGTTGAAATAGAACCCGATGTTCAGCCATGGTATCATGATATCAAAAGGTTTTTGAAAACAAAGGAATATCCCGAGCAAGCCAGTGGAGAGCAAAAGAGAACCATTAGAAGGCTTGCCAGTAGTTTCTTCTTGAGCGGAGAAGTCTTGTACAAAAGAACTCTTGATTTGAATCTTTTGAGGTGTGTAGATGCCCAAGAAGCTGAAAAGAAACGAAGTGCTATGTGGGCCCCACATGAACGGATATGTCCTTGCAAAGATAATCCTGCGGGCAGGTTATTACTGGATGACCATGGAAAAGGATTGCTTCATTTTTTTCCGGAAGTGCCATCAATGTCAGATACACGGTGACCTGACTCATGCACCGCCTTCAGAGTTGCATCCTATGTCAGCACCTTGGCCATTCGTTTCTTGGGGTATGGATGTCATTGGGCCAATCGAGCCGAAAGCTTCAAATGGGCACAGATTCATCTTGGTTGCCATTGATTATTTTACAAAGTGGGTTGAAGCAGTTACTTTCAAAGCCGTCACCAAGAAAGCGGTGGTGGACTTCGTGCATTCCAACATTATTTGTTGTTTTGGTATTCCTAAAACTATTAATACAGACAATGCTGAAAATCTGAACAGCCACTTGATGAGGGAGGTATGTGAAAAATTTAAGATTACGCATCGTAACTCTACCCCTTATCGGCCAAAAGCTAATGGCATCGTTGAAGCTGCAAACAAGAATATCAAGAAGATCCTCAGAAAAATAATTCAAAGTTCTAGATTGTGGCATGAAAAGCTACCTTTTGCATTATTGGGATATCACACAACCATCCGCACATCAGTTGGAGCCACGCCCTATTTATTGGTTTACGACACTGAAGCTGTAATACCCGCAGAAGTTGAGATTCTCTCTCTTCGAATCATTGTTGAAGCTGAGATCGAGGATGATGAATGGATCAAGACCCGGTTGGAACAATTAACTATGATTGATGAAATGGATGGCCGCAGTTTGCCACGGGCGGTTGTACCAACAAAGAATGGCCTGTGCCTACAACAAGAAAGTGCGGCCTAGAAACTTTGAAGTGGGGCAACTCGTTCTGAGGCGTATTCTCCCGCATCATGAGGAAGCAAAAGGAAAATTTCTCCAAATTGGAAAGGTCTGTACATTATAAGAAAATTGTTGCCGAAAGGAGTGCTGTCAATGCAGATGGTATTATGTTTGACCCTTTTACGCAATTTTAATGCTCTCTGATTGGGATGACGAAGGGTTTCATTCCCGCTACCCAAACACTACCAACCCTTGCAAACCCTTTGAGCAGGTTCCCTTTTTCTTTGATTACCCTCTTTGGAACCTGAAAATTATGTTTAAAAAAATATGAGAAAAAAAAGATGAAAAGAAAGAAAACAAAAGAAATAAAAAAAAAGTTCCTTGAACTACGTTCGACTTGATTCCGAAAGGATACGTAGGAAGCCTCTCTCTAGGGTTCAGTCACACCAAAATAAAAATCCACATTCCCCAATTTTTAAACTGGGGAAGACGTTATAATGGTTCGACGATGGTTTCGCCTGAGGGGTTCCAAAGTTGTAATTCAATCCAAATCTTTTTTACCCAAATCCTTTACAAGTCCTTCTGATCAATCGGTGAGAATGTTCAAGGATCGGAGAAAACAGCTAACTGGATCCGATGCAACCAAAATGAGAGAAGTAAAATGAGAGAGTCTTATCGGTGAAAACCCTCACGGGCACCATAAGGCGATGGTAAGCAGAGAAATTGAGAATGAGAGAGTCTTGTTAGCAAAAACTCGCGAAGAGCACTATAAGGCGACGTTGAGAAAAGGAATGAGAGAGGTCAGGCGACGTTGAGAAAAGGAATGAGAGAGGTCAGCTGGTGAAAACCCGCAAAGGGCGCCATTGATCGAAGAGAGGATCCTTACAGCCATCGGCATCGACAGAGTCTTGGCAAGGTTTCTCGATTTTGAGGCAAAAGTTGTGATGAATTTCTGAAAGTTGAATAGTTTACACAGATCAGGCATCCAGTCCAAGAGGCATGTTATGTTCATTGAAGTCCGCATGCACTCTAGATAAGTCCTTCTTTCTTTTCCCTGAAAGGGATACCTCTCGTCTATATTCATTTATCCATTCCATTGTTTGCTTTTCTTACCTCTCGTCTATATTCATTTATCCATTCCATTGTTTGCTTCTCTTTGAATCCCTTTCAGTCTAACTTATTTCGAAACTAAGACAAAGAAGGGATAGCAAGACTAATTTACAGGGTTCTCACTTGATACAAGACAATATGCAAAAAAAGGCACCCAACCTCGGCATGGGCATCAAGTCGACTACGACTGGCCATGATGGCTGATGTTTCAAAATAAAAATTGTTGAAAGAGGAAATTCAAAGTCCCACAAGTGCAAAATAAAGTTGAAAAGGTTAAGTCCCACGTGACTGACCGTCATGTCTAAGTTTGGAAAAAGCCAGAGGTTCTCCAAGGTTAGAAATGCAATCGGTATTCAGGAAACAACCAGTTGCAGCTGAAAGGGCCGAGATCAAGTGACTGAAACAATCAAGTCCACAAAACCAACCAGCATTTCCAACTGACAAATTGTTCTTTGTTTGAAAAACAGGAAACAGGTGTAATCCAAAGCAACCTTGCAAGAAGCAGGTGCAACCAAAAGAAACCGCACGGAGACTAAAATAGCTCTGCAAGTAATAATCACCCCAAAAAGGAAAGTCTTCTCCAAATTCTTTCCTGCATTTTACTCATTATCTTAATAAATAAATAAATAAAAAGAAAGAAAAGGAAGAAAAAGTTCAAAATCATGGTAGTATAGGGTCTCCAATCCCTAGCTGCATTTTTCAAGATAGGGTCTCCACTCCCTAGTTGATTTTATTTTTAGACATAGGGTCTCCACTCCCTAGTCGCTTTTCCAACATAGGGTCTCCACTCCCTAGTTGATGATTTTTAGACATAGGGTCTCCACTCCCTAGTCGCTTTTCCAACATAGGGTCTCCACTCCCTAGTTGACGATTTTTAGACATAGGGTCTCCACTCCCTAGTCGCTTTTCCAACATAGGGTCTCCACTCCCTAGTTGATGATTTTTAGACATAGGATCTCCACTCCCTAGTCGTTTTTCCAACATAGGGTCTCCACTCCCTAGTTGATCATTTTGAGACATAGGGTCTCCACTCCCTAGTCGCTTTTCTAACATAGGGTCTCCACTCCCTAGTTGATGATTTTTAGACATAGGGTCTCCACACCCTAGTCGCTTTTCCAGCATAGGGTCTCCAATCCCTAGTTGATGATTTTTAGACATAGGGTCTCCATTCCCTAGTCGCTTTTCCAACATAGGGTCTCCAATCCCTAGTTGATGATTTTTAGACATAGGGTCTCCACTCCCTAGTCGCTTTTCCAAAATAGGGTCTCCACTTTTAGACATAGGGTCTCCACTCCCTAGTCGCTTTTCCAACATAGGTCCTCCACTCCCTAGTTGATGATTTTTAGACATAGGGTCTCCACTCCCTAGTCACTTTTCCAATATAGGCTTCCACTCCCTAGTTGATCTTTATTTTTAGACATAGGGTCTCCACTCCCTAGTCGCTTTTCCAACATAGGGTCTCCACTCCCTAGTAGATGATTTTTAGACATAGGGTCTCCACTCTCTAGTCGGTTTCCCAACATAGGGTCTCCACTCCCTAGTTGATAATTTTGTAGACATAGGGTCTCCACTCCCTAGTCATTTTTCCAACATAGGGTTTCCACTCCCTAGTTGATCTTTATTTTTAGACATAGGGTCTCCACTCCCTAGTTGCTTTCATTTTAGACATAGGGTCACCATTCCCTAGTCTCTATTTTTTCCAGGGTACACCAATCCCGACTTCTATTGCTTTCAATAATAAAATAGTATAGAGTTTTGTTACAAATAACTCACAAAATTTTCTTAGTAAATGGGGCAGAAAATTTTGTTCGTTCATTTGTTTTGGTGTTAGAGCAGGTTTTTACCTCGAGGCACAGGGTTCGAGATGACCAAAAGAAAATGTCTCAGTCCAAAATAAAGAAAACAAAAGTAAAGAAGTGAATCCAAAGTGCAGAAGCGGAGAAAAGATGTGGGCTGCTCAAGATATGACTGAAGTCGCAAGCTTTGCATGTCCCGTTTTGATCCGAAAAAGATGAAGAAGAATGAACTAACACCTGCAGCTAACAGGCATCAAGATTCAGATCAGAGTCTGGGTGAAGAACCAGCCAAGACTCAAGATCAAGCTTCAGAAGAACTATAGACAGGAATCTTGTAGCTCGTAGCTGATAGGCTTAGTTAGTCTTTTTCATTTTGATTTTGGTGTAATAAGGAGTTCAGCAAGCAGCAACAACAGTGAACTCACAACTTTTCGGTAGTCCCAGCTACCAAAAAATTCCAGAACTACACCGACCTGGTTCCTGTACAGCCAAGGATATGTAGGCAACCTCGGAAGCAAGGTTCGGTCAAACTTTTTCAGAACGCTTCCCATGGAATATCCAAACGGGCAAAAATTGCTCGTATTTGCTCACTTTATCTTTGCCCGAAAAATCTTCGTGTTTCTGAGCAAAGAGAGGCAGCTGTGAGCACGTAATTTTTGCCCGACGAAAAATACTCCTACTAATTCACAAACAATAAATTTGTTTTAATTATTTTAATTCTTATAGAATTTTTAGGAATTTCTTGTTAATTCTTATTTGAATTTAAGTTGCATATTTAATATTTTAAAATTATAGGTAAACATCAAAAAATGTTCAATGCCTCATTTCATAGCACGTAGATTTTAATTGCATTTAGGATTTAATTATTAAGTGCATTATTAATTGAAAATCAAAAAAATATATATATAATTGTCTTGCCTACATTTTAGCTTTTAGTGTTAAATTGATTAGTGTTAAATTAGTAAAATTAAGTAAGATTAATTCTACAAAATAGATTAATCAAATTTAGGATTTTAGTTAATTTAAGGATTTTAATTAATTCAATCATATTTTTAAAATCAAAACAAAAGAAGCAAAGAAAGAGAATTAAAGAAATGATAATCTTGTTTAAGCTGGGCCAAAAGCTTCTCTACGAGGCCCAAATCCTTAAAAATCCACCCCAAGCCCAAGCCCTATACCCCCCCCCCTGTCCGGTTTAGTTTTAATAAAACCAAACGACGCTGTTTGGGTGTCAAGTATTCCCAGCCGTTGATCATTTTAATCTTACGGCTCCTAACTAGTTCCGCAATTATAATAAAACTGTCCTAAGTTCCCCTACTCCCCCCCCCCCCCCCCCCCCCAAACCCCGAATCCTCTCAAACGGTCATTCTCTCTCTCAGATCCCTCCCCCACACCCTGTCTCTCACCAC